AGCAGCAGTTGTCTGCATCTCTACATTATGCTTTCTGTATCTCGGGAAGTATATTATTCTTCGATCGGAAGGAAATGAAGTTTGGGACTATAACTTCCTTCAACAATGCCTGCTCCCCATGAACAAGCCAGCGAGTGAGTCAATACCATTTATAACAAATTTCAAGTGAACTTGAAGCATTTGTAGGAAAATCGATTTGTACTTTTAAGATTATTCCTGCTATATGTATCGTGTTGAGTTTGAATACGTGAAGGTGGAAGTACTTAGCACACATCCCATTCTCCTTGTTTATCATCAGTTTGCAACGACGCAAGAAATAAAAGCTTTTTTGACGGATGCAGATTCCAAGGAGATGAAGATGCTTGTGAGTAACCAGAATATAGCATGCGTGAGTTTGGAGACATTGAGACTTTACTCTCAAGTTCAGAAGGTTACTGATAGCGAAGGCAACCTCATTTTGAACAAAGGTCGCCAAGCAAACGGTACTAGTATGAAACATGAAGAAACTAAAGCGGTTGGAGCAGTCTTTCGAAAGATTGAGAAATCTATTCCTGCAGTGGATTTCCGAAGAAGCGAAGCTTGGCAGGTTGGCTTGTTTCGTATGGTCAACTTTGAAGTACATATTCTTTGTGTAGACAGCACTAAATCAAAACTTCCCAATATTCTGTAACGTTGTATGCGAATTCGTAGTAGACATCTTCAATTTCACCATTTGAAGAAATTTCGAGCAAAAATAAATGTTTCGAATTCACTGAAATTTAGCAACAGCATATAGTTCTAAGAGATCGCTCAAGACTGAAACATCCTAACTTCTAGAAATTATAAGCCAGACCTAGAAAAGTCTCTTTTTGGAACGTTTAAACAGAACAAATGCAGCAACCTCTTACTACATTAACCTAGTGCAGAACTTTGTTTTTCCCTAGACTATAATATGACAAAGTGTAAGAGTGGTAAGCAACCAATGAACCAAACCTTTTGTTTTTCTGGAATAGAATAAGAAACTGATTATTAATGAAGTCGGTTCGGTCGTTTGGACGATCTTTTGATGAGTTGCCAAAAATTTTAACAAACAATATTTATTTGAGTGATTTGCGTTAGTAAACCAAAAAACTTAAAAATCTGATCTCGAGCAAGTAATAATTCAAAGAGATCGTCTTGTCTTTCGCCAAACATTTCCTAGCAAGCCTCCTTTTTGCCCTCAACGGTA